GCCGGCCCTCCCTCTCTTTTTTTATTATTAGTTTTAGGTGTACGAAATAACAGTGATTAGACATTTATATACCTCACAAAGTGTTAACCTCAATAAGCCTATTACCCATCTGACACTATACATAGTTATTAGAATACAGAATTGTTTTAAGAAACATAAGGAAATAAATTGGAAAAAAATTTTTGTAACAGAAATTAAAGAGAGTTCTTACAAATATATTTTCAAAAATTGAATACCCCGAGAGAAAAAGGGAACGAAGAGACAAGTTAGAAAAGATAAAATACAAACGGCAATGAGTAATATAAAAAATATAACCTTTCTAGTTTTAATCAAAGAAATGTACATTTTAAAATAACATATAATTTTTCTCTAATCAGCCAAGTTTAGAGAAATACTGATACTCAGTGTTGGCAAAGGTGTGGTGAAATGGGCACTCAGTTTATTGCTGTTGGAATACATACTGCACAGTATTTCAGGAAGGCAACATAGCAATAGATTTCAAAAGCCTTAAAAATTGTGAATACCGTGTGATGCAACAATTCTCGCTCTATCCCAGTGAAATGATTGAGGATATGTGCAAACATTCAGCTCCCAAACTGCTCATTATCACATTACTTATAAGTAGTGAAAAGCTGGAAACTTAAATGTCCCCAAATTGGATATGTGGCATAGCTATCTTATAAAATGATGTTAAAAACAATATAGTAACATATTTAAACTGTAAAAGGATGTTCAAGATGTATGGATGTGACAAAGGGGGGGCGCTGTACACAACAGGTGCAGAGTGTCTTATCTTAGTGAGAAGAACTGCCCGAGCATACACATAAGCGTTGGGAGGTGGTGGGATTAGGGAAATTTGTTTCCTTATTTTTCCTACTCTTTGTTTTCTGAATTTTCTACAATAATTACATGTTACTTATGTGTGCTGAAGGGGAGCAGAATATGCCACCCCAAATGTGGATTATTTTGAGCTGAAGGGAATCAAGACCCAGCAGTCTCAGGAAAAGCTTTTTACTTCCCTCTCCCTTAATGGCCTCAAGGGATTTCGATGGGGGCCTGGACCAGAAAGGGCTACAACCACAGGTGACTTTTTACCTGACTTATCTGCATGGCATGGAAACACCTGCTCCTGTCATACAGTGAATTTCTTTCCTCCCCTTTGAAGCCCTGGCCCCTTAGCTCAGGCTGGCACAGGAGCTTCAACTGCTTGATTGTCTTTGAGTTTCACATTTTCATGGGGTTGCCGTAAGTACAGAATTAAGCGTTCTTCTCCTGTTAATCTGTCTTATATCAATTTTATTAGACCAGCCGAAGAGCCTAGAAGGGAAGACGGAAAGCCTGTCTGCCTCTAGTTTGGCGCCCACCGCGGAGCTCGCCACTGGCTTGCTGCTGCTCACTCCGGGGCGACTGCAGCCGACAGATCCTGGGGCGTCTGACAAGAGCCCCGGAAGGTAAGAATCCTACCTCGTCAGTCTCCTGGATCTGCCAGCAGGGTCCAGGGGAAGTGAGAGTGGAGAGTCCTTTTCCTTTTTCTAAATTTAGATTAGCAGGAACAAATACACACTTGTGTGAACTACTTCCTGTGTATAGAGACTACAGTGAAGATTTGTTATGAGTACTCCTGTTTTCTATTGATCCCTTTCTTCCCAGAGATGGCTGTTTACTTTTGTCTGTCGTTTGTGTCACTCGTCATAAGGAGGAAAACCATGGGTGGAAAGCAGGCATAGGTCCTATAAGCCTGTGGGTCCAGCCAATCTTATAGACTGGCGAGTTCACGGCTCTAGACCTGCGTCTGTTTAGACCAACTTTGCTGTGGGTCCCCTATATGAGAAAACCAAATGAGGTTTCCCTCTCGTCTTGCTCGATATCTTGAGAGCTTGGCTCTGTGTCCAGGTGTCCACCAGCCAGAAGGTTTAAGAATTGGTTTGTTATCTGGAGGCCCGTGGAATAGACTCAGGATCTGAGACAGGAAGCGCCAAGCAGCACTCTCTTTGTCTGATGGTGCCAGCTATTGGGGAGTTTGTCTTAAGGGCTCCTAGCCCATAGGGGGCCTTAGTCGTCTCCACCTTCATTGTTTTGTTAGTGCTGAAAAGGTCCAACTGAAGTAGTGCCCGCCCAGTGTCACAGGTTCAGGCTTTGTGGCTGGAGGCATCTCATATTCTCATGGGAAACGGAAACATGGTTTTCACTACACCTTTCACCACCTGTGAACAATGAAGGTTTTTGCTTCCTTTGGCTAATTCCGGGAGTAAACTTTATGGATCTTGTGAGGGTTGTACCCTCCTCTAGGACGCTTCCTGCATCCATGGTTAAGCCATTAAAAGGCTAACTGGTTTGAATCACTATTAAGATGAATATAAGATCCTACCTGTCAATGGCCAGATGATGGACCCTTTGAATTGATAAAATTTCTATACTTGAAAACATTTTAAGAGAGTTCTTATGCTAAACAATTGTCTTACTGGGACTTGTGGAAAGACTAAATTAAAAAGAGGACATAAAGGAGTATAACAGGGCCTGTTAACAAGATGAAAGAACAGAAATGACCATATCCAGTATAAACTCCCCCTCCGACCCTGTCTGCCTGCCTGCCTGCCTCTCTTTCCCTACAAGATTCACCGACAGCACTCTGGCCTGACCTCCAGGTCCACAGTGTATAGGTTGCTTGTGTAAATGCTGAAAGCCAGGAAGTGAATTTAGAAGAATCAGGTCCTTTGTGGATATATCCTGGACCCCACCACAAAGAATTAACATACCATGGACAGCAGCAGGTCTATTAAATTATACAGCTCTTTAACCTCCAAGTTCAGAACATCCTACCATATTTAGGGAGAAGTCAGAAAGTTTACTGGCTATTAAAACCCCACTCACAGGGATTTTGATCAGCTGCCAAGGGGTATTCATCCCCATCCAATAAAGGCATACTGCATTAAACCCTGAAGCTTCAGAACATAGGAATCTTAATTTCCATCTTAACTTAAAATCTGCAGGTGGTTGGATGGATAGGTCAGCCCCTTGAATGCATGCAAGCTGCAACCCAATTCTTTGAGGATTTAAAAGTGACTGTCCTTATTTTATAAATTGGAGTCTTTGCTAAACCACATATGAGGCTCTAGAAACATTTCAAAGTCCACCTATTTTTACCAACTCCAAAACCTCCCCTATTCATTTCAAAATGCTTGCAGATTTTAGAACAGAATTGTCCTAAAAGAAGGAAAATTTTAAATAGTAATTACCCTAGACTTCTGATAATAGAGAAAAATACCTTACAACTCCTAGGAAAACCTGCATTCTTTCTGTCTCTTGAATATGTAAATCTTACCTTGTCTTTAAAATATAAACACCTTTGGGGATTAACTAAAACGCCTCCCACAATCACCTGAGACTGAAAAAGGGGAAAAAAGGACTTTCTAAAATACACACTGCTATAAAAGCTCCTTTGCCCAAAATCAGGTCCCCAGCCTCCATAACATGACTTGTCAAGGGCAAATGCAAATCTTAGACGTCTTCTCCACAACACTAATAAAAAGCTTTAGCCATCTGAACAGGTAACCTTAACCTGTTCTATCAGACACAATTTGGATTCAACTGTTACTTATAAACAAATGAGTTTTGTATTGGTAGGTCTGATTCACAGCTAAAATTTTGGAACAGAAACTTAGGGTCTCTCTGTGTCTGTCTCTGTGTTTATGTATATCTACGGATATGTTATGTATATATAATATTTTTCTACCTCGGATGGTAATGCCAAAATTGATTTGTAAAAAAGCTCTATTTAATTGGCTTAAAAAAAAGCACTTATCAAATTAAATATTTCTAAACTCTCAGAAATATAATAGAAACTAATCCAAATGCTTTTCAAGTTTACGTCACCTGGGATAATCTTTGGTAAAGAAAAGCCAGTTTAAGTTTATTGGTTTAATTACAATAGGCATGTTTTCAGAGTTATCAGCATTTGATATAATGCAGACATACAACTTTTATTTTATTTGGGTTAAGTCAAATAAGCTCATGTTATATATGCTACAAAATTTGTAATGATGGCTTGCTGTTTTAATGTCTCAGGAAATTTTAAGTAATCTAAATATGATTAAGAAAAAGTGAATTAAGTATTTAAGTGAACTTTTCAACAATATGTTTTATGAAGCTACTTGAATAGTTTCCCAAATCTCTTTGGTAACTTACACCCTCAGAGTTTTGCTAAGCTGAAATGATGAAAATTCATTGGATAGATCATTTTTTAAAAAAAAGATAAAATACTGAAACATTAATTATTGAACATAGATTTATCTACTTTTGGTTTATTACAGAGAAACTAAAGATATTAGTAAGTATGTCCTATATTACAGTGAAAAGTTCTACCATTAAAAAAAGGCATATGCTTCTAGAAATTATGAAAAGAATTCATAGATTTGCCAATCTGCAGAATGCTGGTGTAACAATTCATAATTAGTAGAAATTAAGGTTTTCAAGGGTTAAGAGTTCTACTTAATAGATGTAATTAAAACTACAAGAAATAATAAGAAAAACAACCCTGTATACAAAGAAAGTAGGATGTGTTTTTGGTATAAAGGTATGAGGTATGGAGAAGGTATGAGGTATGGAGATGTATTTTTGTTAAGGAAAAAGAATAATTTTATCATAAAGCAAAACAACTGTTTCAGAAAGAAAATAAAGGACAAACTAAAATGGATATAGAAAGCTGAAGTGAGAGAATTTTATTTTGTGTAGCCAAGCTGGCTAAAATGGAATAAATTTATTATTAAGGTTTTTTTTAAAAAGCTTTATATCAGTAGTGTACTTATGTAAAACTAAAACTTAATTTTCTTTCATCTGCTAAAAGGATAAATTTTTCTTGGATTTATTGGTCTGATATTGATAAGACTATGAAAGGTTTGGCTTTACCTTTTAAGTAATTGGTCTAGAAAACAAAGATTCTATCATTGGGCTAGAAAACAGATTCTGTGCTTTATCAAAGTAATTTCCTATGCTTCATGTGGATTACTTAAAATAAAACCGAGTCTTCTTTATTAAAAGAGCCAAGGTTTTTTTTTCTTTTTTTACAACTATATAACTTTCTGCATTTTGCCTGCCAAGTCTTTAACTGTCACTGGTTAAATGGATATAACCACATATTGTATTAATATTAGTGATCTATAATCCTATTTGACTAAGTGTTTTGTTTTTCCAGACTTAAAACTTCCTTTTAAGCTATCGATAATTTGGTAAAATATACCTTTGTGAACCAAAATGCAACATTTTTTTTCTCCCTACCTGATTCCTCCAGAATTCGGAAACTCTTAGAATTATTTTTATGACAATATAGTTATTTGAATCTTTTCTCCTTGTACAGGACATAGCTGGAAACACTGGTTATATTACCAAGGCTTTGAGTGGGATGTCATATTTGAGAATGCACAGACTCAGATATGACCAGGCATATTTTAAGGAACTAAGGTTGAATTTATGGAGCCAATAAAGCCCCTTGGAAAACCAGCCTGGTAGTTTGCTTACAGGGTTCCCAGCAGTCCTATCAGGTGAGTAAGGAACGTCCCTTCCTAGCAGGTGCAGGAACCTCAGGATATCTTGGCAACCTCAAGAAGAGAGGAATGAACCCTAATATATAGGTACCGCAGGCAAAATCTGATGGTGAGCCCTTGGCTTCCTAGCCTCAAGAGGCTTTTAAAAATTCAATCTGAGATTCCTTATGAAAAATTCCAGCAAAGCAGATTTAAAAGAGCCTTTATAGTCAATCGCTATTCTTGCTATATCTAAACAAGTAATCAGGCCAAGTTTATTAAAACTATACTTATTTGTAAACAGATTAGTCTTACTTGGGTTATCTTTGATAGAAATCAGGGTGAGAAAGAAATTATGTCAGTAATACACATTTGTGGATATCAGATTCTAGTGCTATAAATTGTCCTTGATGTTTTGTTTTCTACCTGTAACTTGTACTAGATCCTGAACTCTTTACTTTACTCCAGTATTTGGCTACAACTCTCCAAATTAACATTCCTAAATTCTCCCACTCTTGACTTGGAATCACTATGAACAAAAGCTGCCCTTTTCCTGAAGCCCTGCAAACTGAATGTGAACAAGTTGATATAAACTTCCCAGAAATCACCACAACAGCTCACGTATGGACAGTCTTCGTGTCTGTTGCTGTGTGGGCCACTCCGAAAGTTTACTGGGACACTCCATGACGTTGTCAGACATTCACACTGTAAAAGATACTTTCACCTCGACATCTAGAAATCTTTTCAACTGGCTTCCCTCAGAGCACAGACTGGGTTCTGATTACTGCTATAATCATCAACCTTTGTTTTTCTTTTGTTTCCATAGAAATACCTCTTATTAGATACCTGATTGCTTGTACAATAGAAGCCTAGCTTTAGAAGCCTACCTGTATCACCACCACCTCCTGCGGTGAGACACTGTTTAACTGAACTGATCTATTCTCAGGACTAAGAGGCTGGTCCAGTGAGATGGAGCAAGCTACTACCAACTCAACCTTGGGGAAGTTTCAAAGGTGGGACTGAAAGGCACAGAATATGCCAACCCAAAATGTGTCACTTTGGCAGGTGGATTATTTTGAACTAAAGGGAATTAAGACCCAGCAGGCTCAGGAAAAGGTTTTTTTTTTTTTACATCTCCTTTAACTGCCTAAAAGAATTTAGGTACTAGAAAGACAGCTCTTACCAGACAGAATTTTTTCATCTGAAAGACTATTTGGCATGGCAGGGCAAACATCTAACTACCACACATTTGCTCTTGTCACTCCTTTCGGTTTAAATCCCCAGCCCCTATCCCTTTCCTGAGCTCAGGAGAGTATATAAGCCTCAACTGCCTAACTGCAGTTGAGTCTCATATTTTTATGGGGCTCCCCTATGTATGCAGTTAAATTTGTTTTTCTCCTGTTAATCTGTCTTAGGTCAATTTAATTATTAGACTTTCCCTAAAAGGGAAGAAGGGAAAATTTTTCTGCCCTTACAATGTACACACACATGCACACCCCAAAACACTGCAAAATTAAATAAGAGTTGTAACTTCTCAAGACCAAGAAAAAACATTTCTTGAATTAAGTTGAATCATTTACCTAGAATGAACCCAATCTATGGGTCAGATTCCTAAGTTGCTATAGAGACAACTGTATATAGACTGCAAGAAGTCTATAAATCCAAATGTGTACTAAACATCCTTCACAAATTAATAACCTTGAATGTTCTTGAGATTAATAGAATATAAATTCTTTTGAAAGTAAGACAGTTATATTTTTCGTAACAATTTTTGCAAACCATATATTGGAATTATTTTGAGCTTTTAGTTTTCCTTTCATTTCTTCAAAGCTTTTAAAATTACATCAATTCATCATAAATAATTCAAATATAATCAAATGAATTGGTTAATGAAAGTTCATTTTTGACTTCGATACTCCTAAAGGTTTTTGGGTGTTTTAGTGCACCGCTACTGAACAAATTTTTTGAATTGGTTTTTAAATATTCAAAATCATCTTTTGTGATTTTAAATATTCACTTAAACATTTAAAGTTCTTAACTGTCACTCTAATATCTATACTTCCAAATCAGAATCTGTTACTTACAGCTCAGCAAAATTCTTCCAGTCATCTTCACTAATGGAGGGTTTTGTGTGGCTGAGTGCAGACAGTAAATGCAACTGACTAATAGCCAGACTGGTTTTGACCGGTCCTGGTTGGTTAAGAGAGTCATCCTCCTTAAATAAAAAAGAAAGTGACAAAAAGTTAGCTTAGGGACCTGGTAAAAAAAAAGCAGCAGTCCAAGTGTTATTTCTTTTTGTCAGTTTTTTCAGGAGACTATGCATTCCCTTTCTCATAAGATTACTAAAAATAGATTGAACGCAGGAAGCACATAATCATTTGACTGATCAAAGTGTTTCAGTCCTTGTTTATAAATCAAAGAAATACATATCAAAAAAGGAAAAACAATTTTTAAAAAGTTTTTACAATTATAATGGGTGGGGGGAGAGAAAAGCCATACTCCACTTTGGCTCCGGTATCTGCTTTTGATGATACTGATATCTGCTCTCAGTTGATCCCTTTGTTCCTGTGTAAGTTCTTGGTAACCTTCTTGTGAAGCAGTTCTGAACACTGGCAGTTGTGAAAACGATTGATCTTTCCCTGGAACTCCAGGAAAATCCTGAGTCACAGAGCTTGGGGCAGACAGGCAATGTGAACTCTGCATGGTTAAGTATAATGATGAGAGAAGGAAGGAAGAGGGAAGAGAAAAAGAGGGAGAAAAAAATATGTATCAAAGATAAAAATTTTAAGCATTAAACCCTTAACACGGATAAGCTTATATTTCAATTAAATGAAATTAAGCAAGTTTGAAATATGTTTATATTCTATAAAGGCTCATTTATATCTATGTTGTTGAACCACCATTGAATGAAAACTGCCATGACACAAGGTTCTTTTAGTGCTTGTTATTAAATCCACCACACTAATGCCCGAGGGATAGGTTCCAATGAGCCTTATTCTTAGTTTTCAACAAATATAAGGTTCTGGGACATTTCTACATAGAAGTTAAGAAACAGAAAACAGAATTAAAACAATAGCGTACTGTGCTTGGGAATAAAAATGGGTCACTTTTATATTTTTAAGAACCTGAATAAAGCAAATTTACAAAAAACAAGAAAAATCTAACTAAACATAGGTAAAAATGTTATGTGTACCAATAAAGTAAAAGTGAACTATTGTTAATTTTGGAGGGATATGTATTGAATGCTATTTTAATTTAGAAAAACAATGATATTGCCCACCTTTAATCTAAACATTTTCCTTGTTGAAACATTATTACTACCCGTACCTTTTTCACTGTGCTTATCCTTTCCACCAAAAGTATTACAAATAGATAACATTTTGTTGTCAGGAATTTTTGACATTATTGTTCCAAATGTCTCATTATCCTCAACTATCCTATGATAATAGAATTTAAGTTTAATATAAAACAGATCTGCTACTAAAGATGTTTGAAAACCACTGATGAAGGGAGATAAGCCTGAAAGAAGCCAACTGGCTACTTCGGCTTCCTTTTGCTACCAGCTCTTACAGTTCTTACCAACGAATAAAAATGACTAATTCTTGTAAGTAAGGAAAACAGGACTATTTTACTGAAGAACCAACCACCGGAAAGGACATGTGGGACCAGTTAGGAGACAAATCACTGTCAACAAATCAACTTTCCATCAACATAGGGCTTTATGTTTCAGAACCGTACAATGACAACTGCACAACATACCAAATCAGAAGAGGTTCCATTTCCAAGTTCTGATTCATAAGAGCTTCCAAAGTAGAGCCGATATATATTGAATTTTGATTCATCTGGAAGCATCTCAGACATTTCTAGAGAAACAAGGGACTGCTCTAAGCCACATTCTCCATCTCCCGCTGAGTCATCAGAGCCACTGCTGTGGTTAAGGAAAACCATTGAAGACAGGCTTAGGTCACTGTCAGAACTGGAACTTCCATCCTAAAACACACAAAAAGACAACCAGATATAAAGATCTGAATAATCTACAACTCAGAAATAAACAATACAATGCATTCTAATAGACCAGTACAAGGAAGCTCGAGGCATCTTTCAAAAACAGCTCTAGGGCCTGCCAAGTGGCGCAATGGTTAAGAACTGGCTTGGGACGCCAGAGGGCCCCGGTTCGGATCCCACATATGAGGGCCAGTGACACTGCCCTCCACAGCTAAGATGCTGAACAACAGCTCAACCTGGAGCTGGGCTGCCATGAGTCGCCGGCGACGGCGTAGTCTGCAGCCCCTGTGGCAGTGGGTTGCCATGGGCTACCGTGTGTAGCCAGCAGCCAGCGTGAGCAGCCAGCAGCTGCAGTGAGCGGCCATCCAGAAGCCGGCGACTGATCTGCCTCGCCAGGGAAGAGCGCAATGATGGTGCCAACTTGGGCCAGTGAAGCAACTAGATTGAAGAACAAAATGACAGCAACTTGTCTGTTTCCCTTCCCCCAATTCCCCAGCGCTGTCCCCATCCCCCAATTCCCCAATAAAAATATTTAAAAAACCCCAAACAGCTCTATTTTCTAATGGTTCTGAAGACATAATAAAATTTTAACTATTAAAATTAAAAAAAGACAAGATGCAATGTGTAGATAATTTGACAAATATCACCCCAAAAAATGTAACAAACATAGGACTCAAACCTCTGGGTTTTATTTTTATGTTTCTGTCTGTCAATTCATATTTTTCTACTCTGAAATGACAAATCAACCATGTTATAGAGTGTTTTATCATTATAGAGTACTTTACAGAAGGGGAAAAAAAGAACTTCAGTGGCTTGCCAAAATAGCAAAAGCTTGATAGTATTTGATTTAGGAACATCAGGTCCTATAAGAATCTCCAATAAAATGTAGGGGAGAGGAGTATACAAGAAAACCCTCCCAAGAAAATAGATGATAAAGTCCATAATGTACCAGAGTTCAAATTGTCTGCTGTGAAAATTAAAATCAAAATACTACCCTCTTAGAGAAAAGTCTGATTCTAGGCCTGGGGTACAGAAAGTACAAGACAAACCTACAACAAATACTTTGTTGTATCGGGAAGTAAGGGGCCAAAGAATGAGAGAACATATCAAAAGGACACAGAAGCCAGCCAAAAGCAGCTCCTATTGGCCAGATCTGCGACAATTTGAACTTCAAAATAAATAACTGATTATTTTTTAAATTAAAGCATCAAAGTAAAAACCTCAATATTTTTATATATTATCTAATTCATGATATCCCAATTTAAATAATACACTTTCACACACCGACATAGTCTGCTATAGTAAAGTAATGTTAAAGAGACACCAAACTTGTAATAATTACAAATTCTCTGCAAAGCCAGTATTCCAACTATGGAACATTCGAAATTTACAAAAGTAAATTTCTGTACAGCTTACCAGAGTTGTTAAAAAACAGGATTTTTCCAGGTAGAGGTTTTGATAATGAACTTGTCTTATCACTCATAAAACACCTTAGTAACGATCTCCTCCTAAAACTTACTTGGAGTCCACATGACAGCAGCCTTCCATGTAAGGCCTCTAACTGCGCATTGTAAAGTAAAGCTTTCAGGTCGGCTCCTGTGAAAGACTCAGTTACTGAGGCCACATGCTGAAGGTCCACATCATCCGCCAGTGGCAGAGAGTCACTGAGAACGTTTAAAATTTCAAGACGTGACACCTGAAGGGAAAAAAGCTAATTGATTTAACAAATAAAACATAAAATTAAATATTTTCATTAACTTTACACATCTAATAAGCTTTACAAATTACGTAGAGAAAAACACCATCAGTCTACTGTCCATCCTGCTTGGTACTTTTTCCCTAATAGAAGGATCACAGGGAGGAAAATGAATGAAAATCAACATTCTCAGCTACTTGGTGTAAATCATTTCTTATTCAGACAATGCTTATTTTCTAGATTTGGGCAACTGTGCTGAGAAAGTGTTTCAAAAGGAAAATTAAAATAATTGCAATAATAGCTACATGTGACATATATTTACATATTTTATACCTTTGACTATTCATTTGTCTATTTGTTCTTCCACTTATTTATTCATCAGTTTCTAAAACTGGGAACAAGAGTTGGAACAACACAGGACTAGGAACAGTTAAAAATCACATCTCTATGTAACCTCAGGTGCATTACTAGGCATATGCTTGATTCTATCAGTCTTTTGTCAGAATAATGAGGTATATGATCTTTAAATACAGGGAATGTGGATATGCAGTACTTTAGGTTCCTTAATTTTTTCCCAGTTGGCCAACACTGAAAGATTATAAAGTTTTAAGACTGGCATGGAAATGTCTGTGCCAAAGAGTCTCTGCATCAATTCACTATCTTTTCATGCTGTGAGCAAACAGTGACTAAGGCCTTTGTCTACAGCTGGTCTTTGAAGGACAATTGCTATTACTTGGCAGAAGTAAAGTTCACAAGGTAAGAGTGTATCATTTCTGGAGGTATCATACTCCTTGACTTCAGCTTGTCCTACAGAGCCACAATAATCAAAATAGCATGGTATTGGCAGAAAAACACACACAGACCAATGAGATAGAACTGAGAACCCAGAAATAGACCCACATAAATATGGACAGATAATTTTTTACAAAGGAGCCAAAAACATAAAATGGAGAAAAGAGCCTCTTCAATAAAGGATGGTGGGAGAATTGGAAAGCCACAAGCAAAAGAATGAAACTAGACTGCTATCTGTCACCATGTACCAAAATTAACTCAAAATGGATCAAAGACCTAAACAAAAGACCTGAAACAATAAACTCCATAAAAGAAAACATAGGTACTAAACTTAGGGACCTTGGATTCAAAGAGGGTTTTATGAATTTGACATCAAAGGCAAGGGAAGTAAAGGTGAAAATAAATGAATAGGACTATATCAACCTAAAAAGTTCTGCACACCAAAAGAAACCATCAACAAAATACGCAACTAACCGAATGGCAAAAGATTTTCGCAAACACCTTCGATAAGGGGCTAATATCCAAAATATATAAGGAACTCATACGACTCAACAAGAAAAAAAACAATCAACCCAATTTAAAAATGGGCAGAGGGGGCCCGGCTGAGTGGTGCATTGGTTAAGAGCTGGCTTGGGACGCCAGAGGGGCCAGGTTCCAATCCCACATAGGCGGGCCAGTGACACTGCCCTCTACAGCTAAGATGCTGAACAACAGCTCAACCTGGAGCTGGGCTGCCGTGAGTTGCCTGCGACGGCGTA